TGAGTTCGGACGACAGCCCCTGGGTGCGATGTTGTCAGCTGGGCGGGTGGGAAAAATAAAGCCTTGACTTACCCCAAACAGCCCGAAACCTTCTAATCCGAAGACAGGCCTGGGACTATATCTTCAAGGTAGCGAACAAGGAGATCTGAACGTAGACGTCCAGGGTTTCGCCCGTAAATGGGCAGCACCTTGGGCAGATCGCTGTTTAGCTGGATGTGGCCGGGAAAAAGACTAAGGAGGAGCTTGCATGGGTGTCTGGTTGGATGCCTCATTGGCCACGTGCTTGGTCTGCAATCATGTGTCCCATCTTCTCGGCTCTGATTCAGACTCCCTTTCCTGTCGGCCTTTTGAGATGCTGACACGGCTTGAACCCCTCAGCTGTCGAAACACCAGAGATCCTAATATAGGGGCCTAAATGACTGCCTATATTATTTTGGGGGTTCCTTGTTATAATTATAGTATAATGGGCCCCAGAACCCTATTCTCAATATTAAGGCTCCTACATTAAGCAAACTTGGCCTAGCTTGATGAGCGTGCCAATTGTTCCGGGGCACAGGCTGCATCCGGTCGTTCGGAGAAGATCAGGGCCGTCAAATGAGTACTCGTAGACTACAGTATAGGGTTTAGGAAAGTTTAGGGTTTAGGGACTACAGTATGACAATGATAAGCCAAGGAACCCTCAGGAATCATCTTGCCAGTTGTTCAGGATTCCCTGCTGTGTCCAGCAACGAGTTAGACTAACTAGACATGACAGTGTCCACATACGGAAGGCTGCACATCCTGATCTGATCTGGGCCTGAGTGCCGCTTTTGGGTTCATATTTAGAATCCTATTAGGGAATCCCAAAAAGGAACTACTATGGGGCCTATAGGTATTGGATACAGAACCTGACAATAAGACCCCCATAGGCGACCTGTCTACTGCAGCCTGCGGCTGCAGCACGCACATGGCACCATGGCCCCGGCAGCGAGAGGTGCTCAGGGTTGATTCAGCTGCCTGGTTTAGGGTTTAGGGTTTAGGGTAGCTGTCTCGGAAGACCCCGACGGAAGCCCTATCTCTGATGTCGAAATCGTTCAGCCCCAAACCCAACAGGCTGAAGGGCTTAAGTCGTAGATGTGGGATGTGTGTACCAGAAGTGATAGATGTGTAAACCAATGCATGTGGTGTGAATCTCTGGAGCACGTTTCCCAAGATTGCCACCACCATATGCTATGACTCTTGAAGACCATTTGCTACACATGCTTTATCTTATATGTTACATATACATATATATATATATATGTCTCTTACACCTGACCTCTGTACTTGTGCATGTCCATGCATTTCAAGACACGATCAGACTCGTCTTGTGTTTGCTTATATTTATAAGTAAATTCATATTTATACTGGAATTCAACACCGGAGTTCCGCACAAGAAGCGGGACCCCGGCACTACGAAATCTACTACTGCTAGTGCTACTGCTACGGCTACTACGACTACCACTACCAACCATTACCACTACCCGTACCCCTGCTGCTAGCGTACAGCCTTGCCGCGTGTCGTGACAAACTCTAGGCGGACCTCTTTCAAGTAGTCTGCTACATGCAGCTAGTAGCTGCAGAAGCCGAGTTTTCTAATGTGCTAATGTCACGCTGAAGATGTACAGTTTTCTTGCGATATAAGCCACATGATGCTGTGGTCGCTGAGCTGCTGTTCTCTCGACTGTACTCTGCAATGCGGGGCTGCGTCCGAGCTGGAGGCGCAGAACGCCTACCCTTGCCACTGCCCCTGCGACTACCACTAACAGTACCACTACCACTACCACCAGCACAACCACGACAAACCACCGCTGCGACTAGCACCACTGTTACCATGTCCAATAGATGTTTGTAGCATTATTATCAGCTTGACCATCATCTATTCAAGTGTATTGCCAGCTATCACCCTTTCTATGGCCCTTGTTATTTCTATTTTGATGGTGAGGATGGCGGCTCTTTATGACTCTCACAGCACTACTCGCCCCCGCCGTGAAAGCATCGTCATCTTTAGCACAAGAACAGCCATCATGGCGTTTTGAATGGATGGTACATATCTATGGGCTTGTGGGTGGTTGGGGCATGTCTGGCTCGCTGTGAATCTCAGCGAGCCGTAAGCCAGTCAGAGGCCCATGGTGGTCAGAGATGAGGGCAGACATAGGGCTTCTATTTAGGGTTTAGGGTTTAGGGTCTAGGGTTTCGGGTTTGGGGTTTAGGGTTTAGGGTTTAGGGTAGGGGGGTAGCTTGTACAAGGTTATTAAAAAACCCAGTGCTTGTGAGGTCTCGAAATGTTTGGTTATATAGTTGGGTTTTTGAGGTGCTGGCGCGGCCAGCTTCCTCAAGGAGTCATTCCCTGCTGATTTGTTTAGCTTCTCTCCTGCACAAGTGAGGACAGAGAACTTGTTTTGGTTTAGAGGGGGCCACTGCGATGTTAAGGTGGGCAGAGTGCTTCACATGTCTGGCCGATTTGAGGCACATCGTTTTGTGGACAGGTGCGAAGTGTTGTCGCTGTTAGAGTGTAGAATCTGCTTGTGGTCAGCCTCTTGCCTTGCCCTTGTGAATCAAGGTGTGGCTGCTGAGCCAAGGATTGGCCAGGCCCGAACATGGTCTTATGACATGGAAAAATAGTAATATAGGGGCCTGTATAATTACCTATACTATTTTGGGGTTCCTTACTATAAGTGTGGTATAATATAACCCAGGTTAAGGGCTTGGGGGCAGACGGCCCAGTTGCAGGAAGGCAAGCAGTAAGCAGCATTCTCGGCTCAAGTGCTCCATCCACAAAAGGCTCCATTCGACAGCTCGCCGGCTCAGCGTAGGTTCCGTAGTTGTTGTGATGCTGAGAGGGTGCCTGAAAGCCGAATCGCATCCGTTGCCATCCTCTTGAGTTCTTCGTTTTAGGATCTAGGGTTATGAAGGTTTACTGAATTGTGCATGTTTGCATGCAGGCAGGCTTAGCAGGCTCCTTTCAAGCTGGTTATGAGGATGGCGATAAACCAACTTATCAGCAGCACGAGCAAGCAATCCAGCGAGCGACGCGGAGATGGAGAGACGCAGAGAAGAAAAGAGAGACAGAGAGAACCGACCAGTACTTTTACCATTATCCTGTGTAAGTTGCCGCCACTACCAATAACAAGGGCATGCCACTAGCATCTATTCAAAGGCCTGGCACAAGATGGCAGTGGCAATCTCGCAAGCTCACTACTGTTAGCTTCCCTTGCTAGCATCACTCACGCTGACGGGCTAGAGTCTGGGAAGTACAGGCATCACTGCAACTTTTGTGCATTCCGTGCTGCTAGTTTGCGGATGGCCACCTCACCAAGCAGTCACCGAGGCCAACAAGCATGCGATTGATCCTGCAATGTTGCATCCAAGACGGTGCACATCCGTGGCATGGCAGCCTGCAGAGGCTGTAGCAAGACTCTTCTAAGACATTACATTATTGTAGCTGGTTGCTAGCACCACGAACAGTATCAAGATTGGCCTTGTGGCAGCAATTGCAAAACTGAGAAACCAGCACTACTCCTTGACATGGATAACATATCTTCGAGAGCAGTGCTGCTAGGGTTGATAGTCCAGGTCGATCTGAGCGGCATTGCAGGGCATTAAGGATTTTCCTCGTACTTGCTGGACTACAGATACGTGATGAAACTTGTTTACTGGGGTATATATCCGTTGCATGTACCTGCTTATCTCTCCATGCATTCATACAGACAGACAGACCGGAAGGCGGCCGGCCGGCAGGCAGGCAGACATACAGACACACAGACACAGACAGACACAGACAGACACGGACGGACGGACAGACGGACAGCCAGCGTTACATTGACATACAACCTCCACATAACATAGCCCGCAGCACCGAAATGGACGAATCACGCTTGCGCATAGTGCACACACAAGTGCAAGTTGTGGAGATACTTCCGAGCCCTCTGCCAGACTGGATTTTGCGTGGACGCTTCCACGAGCCGGAGCGTCGCAACATGCTGCATTTGGTGAATTGTTGCGGTTTCAGGCTTAGGCTTGAGAACAACAGTCATGACCCACTGCATGAGGTGCTGCTGTCGTCACACCAGACAAGTGGAGCTTGAGGGAGTGCTAGTTTTCGTGTTGACAGGAGTCAAGGTTAATGCCATGTCAAAGGCACCTCGATTCCGGTGGTTCTCCTGCAGCAAGATAGCTGGCACATGAAACTACCAACGGAAATTCTCTGATGTCACTCTATGCTATGCTTGCATCCTGGCTTGGAGCCTGAACCGTAAGCCCCATTGAAGTGTAGTAAGCCTTCCAGAACCCCAAACCCGGCCCGCCCGAAAGCCTACTCTAGGATCATTCCCAGTAACCGACCCATCTAGTCACCCTTATTGAACCCTAACTTCCCTGAAGCGGCCGCCTGTCCGCAGCCGCACAAGTGCTCGAGCTATTCGAGCACAGTTCCCCCATCAGCGTGGGTTGCTCCCACACTATTTTTTTGTGAAGGAGCCCGATGGGGGTAAACAGGGATGAATGATGGTACAAGGGGTCAGTATTCTCTGAAGGCACCCAGAGATTTTGGGCTTTCGTGGAGTAGGCAGAGTGGTGCCAGTCTTTGCTATATCTATGCCAGAAGACGCCCGAATTCTTGAGGCCCCCCCCATATTAGGCTGACGGTTAGGCTTGTGTCACTCAGACCATGCTTGAATCAAGGTTACCAGGTCACCTCTAGTCACTCTAGTCTTTCTTTCCCTTTTTTGGTGACCCAGGTGATGTCTCCCTGGAGTTTCAGACAGTAATGCTCTAAGAAAGGCCCGATTCAGCAAGGTTCGTATTTTAAGCACCCACCTATAGGCCCCATAGTAGTTCCTTTTTGGGATTCCCTAAAAGGATTCTAAATATGAACCCCAAAAGGAACTACTTTAGGGCCTACTACGGGCAAGAACCTGAATCGTTTTTTTGGTCTAATTCCCGAAGTGCAGCGCCGCAGGATTCGGCGGCTGCGCTTGAAGATGGACGCCGGCTACCTGCAGAAGGCACTTCAGTCACCATCGCGGTGTTTCAGCACGTCATCGGGTTTAGGGTTTAGGAGGTTCTGGCAGTGGATGCAGTGCCGGATGTCGTGCGACTGCAGCAGTAGGGGTAGCAGAAGAAGTCATAAAGTCGCAACTGCGAAGGTGTTGATCTGCAGGGCCCCCACTGGCCTTAAAACCCTGAGTATCCTTTCACGCCAAGCCCTGCCGAGAATCCATATCAGACAGCCGAAAGACATGATTGAATGGTCGTGAGCCGGGATTTAGGGATTTAGGGTTTGGGATGTTGGGTTTCTCCTGGAATCACACCTGGAACCCTGTAGAGAAGCCTCTGGGATCCCCTGCAAAACCCTGTAAGAATGGAAGAAGGGTCGCGCAATGAACAAGAACAAGCCTGAGCGCCGAAACCCCAGAAGCCATCTAGGAGCCATGAACCCCTAAACCCTAAACCCTAAACCCTAAACCTTCGAGTAGGTTGGATTGGACGTCCGATCCAGTCCAGCCCTTTGCCTGGGTAGGCTCGGGCCGGCAGCTGCAGAAGCTTAGGGGTTTAGGGTTTAAGGTTTAGGGGGTAGGGTTAAGGGTTTAGGGTTTGGGTTCAGGGTTTGGGGTTTGGGGTTTCGGGCTTACGGTTCAGGGTTTTCATGTTCTGGGTCCCTTCTGTTCGGGGTCCTTCTTGTTGAGGGCGGTGCTCTAGGTTCCGGCTTTTGGGCCTTGGGCGGGTTGCGGTTCAAGGCTTCCGTTTTAGGGGTCTTGGTGTTGAGGGTTTCGGGGCTTGGGTTCTGAGGCGTTGGGGCTTCGGGTTTGGGGTGAGAGAGCGAGAGAGAGAGAGAGAGAGAGAGCTTAACAAGAAGCCCTCTAGGGATGCAGTGTTCAGTTGATGCTTAAAGGCCGTAGCTCTCCAATACCCAACCTTTAAACTTTTTCGGTTCTTATAATTTAGTAGCCATCTGAAAACCTGTGGCTTTCATGGTCCTCGTCTTGTTTGTAGGAGCTTAAGATGACGGACAGGGAGTTGCAGAAACTCAGTTTGGGTTTCCACAGCGGAGACATACTGCAAACGATGGGCTTTCCTTAGTTGTATGTCTTGAGTCTTGCCCAGTGCGCTTAATCTTCTTCAGGGCGGCCGGTCGGTGAGGCACGGGCTCAGCCATGAACCATTTTTGATCAGCCCCAGGCTCTCCTGCCTTTCGGGCATGTCCAAACTGTGGAAAGCCTGCACAGAAACGCCCAGTCGACTCCCTAAGTAGTCCTCAGTAGATTTAAACTAGACGATTGACTCTGGTTGAGCTTGAAAAGGTATATACATACATGCATGCATGCATATGTATATGTATATATATATATATATGTATATATAGATAGATAGTATGTAAGCTCTCTTATGATTATAACCTCCTCCCAGCTCTCTAAGTAGCCACAGGTGCCCCATGAGACAAGGACCACCAGTCCAGCATCCAAATACCACCGACCCTTAAAGTCTGAGTCAGTTATATAGGGTTTAGGGTTTAGGGTTTAGGGTTTAGGGTTTAGGGTTTAGGGTTTAGGTATAGATCCTAGGGCTCCAGTTAGCTAAATAAAAGGATAATGGGGGCACACAACATATGGCTGGTAATCTACTATTTAGCGAACTGGAGGTCTCGGGACCTCGATAGAACAGGCGTTCTTGCTTGGATTCTGCGCTCAGAGCTGTGCTAAACCCCCTAAACCAAAGCTCTCTGACCGGCCCTTGCCAGGACGAACGGCCAAAGCAATGGAATCACTGGAACTGCTTCTCCAAAAGTGCCTGCCGCACAGGTTGGGACCCTCTAGGGCTCTAGGACACTCGCCTGTACACACGCAGCGCGCATGCCACACTAGATACTCTTGTACCCCTCCGGAAACAGGATTTCTCAGACCTTGCAGGGGTGCCCGGCGGATTTTTGGGACCCTTGTGTCAGGGATATGTGCTCCAGGAGTGAGAAAAAGCCCCATACACGAACAGAAGACGGTAATCGAGTGATGCATGCTCGAGGATGGCTGCATGGCGAGGCAGTGCAACTTGCCATCGTGGAAGCACCCATGCATGCATCGACCAATAATTCTGCAAGCTCCCAGCCAGGCAACATGGGCTCGTTCGAACATCCGTCCTCGATCGTCCTCGTACATAGGCTAAAGCCCCTAGACCATGGAGAAAACCAAGAGCAATAGAATCGAGGTTCGCCGGTCGGTCGTCTTTCTCCCTGTGTGCCCTGACTCAGTCGCCGACACGCAGCGCAAATGGCAACTTTGGTGGCGACCTGATGGGCAAGGGCTACGAGAGGCGCGCTGTAGTGTTTACGCTGTACTGTTTACTTCAGGTTTGTAGGTTGTGAAGTCAATGGCTGCGACTTCAGATATTTTTGAGGATCCGCATATGCAGGTGGGGTTCGGCAGAGCTTTCGTCACCTGGTAGTACTGGCCAAGATTCCCAAGATCAGGTATTTGGGATCGCTTTGTGTGGCTGTGACATAACGGGTGAAATTATTCAAAGGTACTTGCGGCACAGTGTTTGAGTGTTTTCTATGATCCCAAAGCAACAGCCAAACGTGTAGTTGTGGCAGAAGGGCGCATAAGCTCACTTAAGAGTCGAGAGCCTAGGGCAGATCCACGAGTCAATCAATCTCCATTGTAGTTGCTTTTTTTGTTTAACCAATTATATATTAAGGAGTTTATAAGGCATCCCCAAGAAGGAACTACAATGGAGACTATAGGTATACTTCAATCAGCTGCTTAAGGATCCAGGTCTCGCGATTTTAGTAGATCTGTCTTCACTCCCTAAACCCTAAACCCTAAACCCTAAACCCTAAAGCCTAACCTTATAGGTGCTACATTTCAAGCCCCAGTCCCTTTAAGCTCTAAGCTCGAGACGAATCTTTCCGAGAATCCTGGAGCGCTCTCCATGGGTAGTTCTCCAACTTAGGGTTTAGGGTTTAGGGTTAAGGGTTTAGGGTTTAGGGTTTAGGGTTAGGGTCCCTTTTGGCTACCCCCATCTTAGCTTTGAGAACTTCGTGGCGCCGGCTGGCAGGGCGGCGATCACCAAGGGATCCCATCCGCCATGGTTGGCTCCGAACGTGTCTTGGACATCTATAAAGGGTTTAGGGTTTAGGGTTCTAGAAAGGAGTGAGGGTTTCAGGGAACTTTTGGGATTTCGGGTGGTTTTGTTGGGCTTCATATATAGATTTTCATAAGGTTGTGATAGAGGCGTGCAGCATACGGAACTACGTGAATAGATGAGCTTATGGCCTTGAGTTCCTACTAACCTGATTTATATATGCGTTCTACTTACAATCATGTTGTGTACGGTCTTTTTCGGTATATTTTGTGAGGCGTTGGTGGACCTGCTTTCCAAATCGACGCTGCTGGTTTTTGGTTATTGAGCGTGACAGTTTGGTACAAAATGGCAAGTAATGGCTGTGGCTATCGATGTCAAGCTGTCGGAGTAGACCCTAAACCCTAAACCAAAACCCTTACTGCAACGTTTCATCTCACATCCGTCTCCGTGGCCAGGGCGGTGTGGACGCCGGGCTGCAGGTGCCGTGCTCTGCTGTAGTGTATGTCAGGGTGTTCCCGGTCTTTGTTCGGATGTAAGAGTTGATAGGCCTTTAAACCCTATAAACCCTATAAACCCTAAAACCCTAAACCCTATATAGGCTTAAGAACCTGAAGAGTTCTAGCTTGCAGCCCCTATCCCAACAACATGCATGTTCTGCTGGCAGCGTTGATCGCCAAGTGGTGCCACACTCCAATACAGTATTACCACTGCTACAAGCTACTGGAACAGATCGACTCCCAAAGTGTACCTTCATCTCCGACATCGTGCACCCTGCAGGTCATGAACAGCTTGACGGGGGAAAAGGAGTCCTTCAGACCCCTCAAGGACTTGCTTTTGTGCAGTAGTCTTTTTGGGTGAAGGCAAGCTTGCGAGGGACATCATGGAACGACATCCTGCATGGGCCGAGAGCTCCCGAAGCCTTCTTCGCGGATGTCAAACCGACATCCGGCAGGAAAACAAAGTTAGTTGGTATACTTGCGGTCCGACCGTGCCTGGGCCGCATTGGAACTACATATATGATGCCTGTGCCTTCGGGGTTTATGTGTGTATAGATCCGAACCTGTCAGCGACAGCAAGATGGCGGATTCGTTGGAGAAATGTAGGCCTCAAAACCCCCCAAACGGCACCGTAAAGCTCCAAACCCTCTATTCTGAATCCTGCGTCGTAGACCAAAGAAGTCAGGTTTACGATGTGGCCCACATGGGGCACGCTCGAGCATACCTGACCTTCGACATCCTTCGAAGTTCTCTGGGCCGTGTTACTTGGGTTTGGGGAGGTTTAGGCTCGGGGTTTTACGGGGGGCCTCATAAGATTTACCTAAGTAAGCTTGAAATGGTTTGGGGTTTAGGGTTTAAGTATTTCATCACCAGCCTGTCAAACTAAGTAAGTCACCCTGAGCCGTCAGGCAGGGCTTGGGTAGATCCCAGGTCCGTGGTTTGGGGTTGCACTGAGGAGGACACCATGCACATGTCTCATCTGACTCACCTGGGGGCCGGTGGATTTGAGAAAGCGTCGGCCGTGCGACCTTGGTAGTTTCAAGGCTTTCGGGTTCACGGTAATATAGGGGCCTAAATAATTACCAATGCTTCTGTTGGGGCTCCTTATTATAATAAGTATAGTATAGTATACTCTAACACCCTATTCTAATTTTTAAGGCGTCTGCATTAGTCTTGATGTTGCTGTTTAACCTCCCGACCCGAAACCTGGACTGTTAGGTACAGTCAACATTCCAAATCCTAGGGCATCATTAAGGAGAGACCTACCGTAGGTCCGATAAAGCCTAATAAGTTCATTTATTGTTCCGCGGCCCTAAACCCTAAACCCTAAACCCTACTCCTGCTTTGACTACTTTCCCTTTACGGTGGTACCAGCTCTCTGCTCGCTTGTTCAGCATGTTCACGTAGCAAGCTCGGAACCTCATTGCCATGCCTGCCTTGTGCGAGTGTGTGAGTCGAAACCCTAGGTAGGAGGCAAAAAAACCCTAAACCCCTAAACCCTAAACCCTAAACCATTTGTGCAATCCGAGCTGCCAGGTAGCTCACTCTAACTGTAGTACTGTAACTGTAGTAATGCACTTGTTGGTCTCTTGGCACAGTCGGTAAAGCGGTTCGGCCATGTTGGGGTGCAGAGCTTCGGGGAGGACGCCAAACCTTGGCAAAGACAATGTATTGCCAGGAATCATGCAGAACTACCTGGGCTTCGACGTCAAATACCAGAGGCCTGGCTGCCTTTAGACAATCTTGCAGGTGCTGGTCGAGCACCGAGACAGCTGCCGCAATGCAGCTTTGGATTCCAAGCCACAGCAGTATCGTTTGTGGGGATCATCGTGAAGCCTGAGCTATCAGCCCATTACATCAACCTGGGGCCATGATTTGTTCGAAGGGCCAGCTCAATGCAAGGTGGTGAACTTGCAGTCGGCCGGGCTTTCCTTAAGCGGTCGCAGGACATCAGGTCTTAGGCAGTTCGAAAGGACTTCACTTCTCGAACCACAGCACTCTGGCCCCTGACTTCTGACCAAAAAATATCACCGCGAAACTTCCTTCAGCCGCGTGTAAGGCCTTGCGACCAAGAGCAGCTCAGGATTAACATTACCGATATTGATGACAAGATCATCTTGCGAGCTCGCCAGAACAAGCTCTTCGACGACTTCTCCCAGGCAATGGCCAGTACACTGCTGAAAAATAGCTCAGCTTTGAGGTCGGCATGCTTACTGCTCCGTTCTTCTTTGTTTTAATGAAGGCCCTTCTATGAGTTCCTACACCCTAAGCCCTTAGATCCCCAATATCCAACCTCTACACTTTTTGGGTCGCTAGAGTTTAGTGGGAATCGGAAAGTTAGGCCTTTCCATTCTGTGGCTTGTCGGGGAAGTAAGAGCCCCAAACCCTGAACGGGTGCTGTTTTGTTCTCAGAGAGCCCAATACCCCTGGAATAAGGACTATACCTTAAATTACAGGGGCCTTAATATTATGATTTAAGGTATATTCCTTAATTAAGCCCTAAACCCTAAACCCTAAACCCTAAGGGGTATCGGGCTCTTTGGGCGTTTGCCCTTTTTGAGGCTCAGGGGATGCTCCTGTTTTGCTTCTTCGGTCCTTGACGGGAACCAACGGCAAGACGAGATCCATGCGAACTTCGCCAGCCTTTGTAATCCTAGGGTTTCTACTTGGAGGATCATGGGACGTAGTAAGTATGGTTATAAGTCCCGTAATTGGGGTTTTATAAGTATAGTTACCTCAGTTATAACCCTACTAAGCCCCATGATCCTTTAAGTAGGGTTTCTAGGGTTTAGGGAACCTTATGGAACCCGAAGATGTATAGCTGGCCATGTCTTGAGGCACCCTCAACAGCAGGCTGAGCCCTAAAACCCACCGTGGACGAGTACAGGAAGCCTCGAAGATGAAGCTGGATGAGCTGAAGAAGGTCGTGAGTGCAGTGCCTCTGCTGTCAATTTAGGGTTTAGTGCCTCTGCTGTCAAGAAGGCATGTCGGACCTTCTCATCATTCCGGTAACGGGTTTCACATGAGACTTTGTGTGCCGAGTGCGTGAACAGTGTGCAGCCGGGAACATAAGCCTGTTTCTGTGCTTGTGTCAACACATCGTGATCTGAGGCCTTGCGAAGTAAGTTGCGTGCATGGGATGCACAGTCATGCGGACTGCTTCTACTCGTTCTCACGCGCCCTCTCTCAGTATTCGAGATGCTGACTTGGGTTCCTACGGCCTCGACACCAAGATGCCCATGTTACTCGAGATATAGGTTGCAGCTGAGGCCGTTGATCTGAAGGGGAAGAAGCTCGAGAAGATGCCTGGCTTAGGGTTTAGGGTTTAGGGTTTAGGGTTTAGGGTTTAGGGTTCAGGAGACCTCGTAGTCTGGGGCTAACAGACACTGGTTGCTGTAAGGTCCTGCTGCTGCACACACAGCTTGAAACAACAAACAGCCTTCTCCCCGCACAAATTTCAGAAGACCGGCTCTGACGACTTGGAAGCATTGGATTGGGGGTTTTAGGATTTCGGGTTCAGCGACTCATGCGCTCCGCAAGCACTTAGCTGACGTAGTTCCATTCCTAAGTAGCTGTAGTCTTTACTCGAAGTCGACTTATCGGACAGGATCGGATTCTGGACCTTCGAAAGCACTCAACAACTTCGCAAGCGCTCCAACCATCAGAATTCTGCCCATATCAGTGTCATCGTTTCGCCCAAGGCTCAAGTGATCATTATGGCAGTCCTCCATCATAAGCAACGGCATCATCATCATCATTGTAGCCACCACCTGCATCTCCATGTTCATCGAGTACTCTTCACGAAGACATCACAGCATCAGCCAGATCTGGCATTGGCTACAGTTGACCACAACTAGCCAGATTAATCTGCATGCTCACCCAACCTTGTAAATGAGGACCTCCAGGCACCAATACAATGAACACCCGAAGCCCTAAACCCTATATATATATATATATATATATATATATAACCAGAAAGAACTCGAGAAGTGCACGAAAATTACCATAAGAGGCCCGAAGTCTATGAGACCTGACGTATAGATGCAACATGGAACGCAAACGATCCCTGAAAGATCTCGGATGCCCTAAGGAAGGCACCAGTAAAGCCAGCAGCGGATGCTTCGGCCAAGGATCAGCAGGACACTGCGAATGGGTGATACAGAAGCATAGAGAATTACCGATACTATTTTGGGGGCCGCAAAACCCTATTCTTATTATTGAGGCCCCTACAGTGTTCTGTTTCCATGGGAGCCCAACATTGTTTCGTAAGGCTGCTTTAGGGTTGGAGAAAGCTTTCATACGGATTCATGAGGCGGCCTCGGGGATTTTCAAAGGCCGTAATCGGATATCATGAGCCTTCTGAAGTATAAACGATGTAGTGGTAAGGCGACGGTTGTGGGCTCTCAGCCCATATGTAATCAAACGAGAATGGGCTTCGCAGCCAGTACCCCTAACACCGCTTTTTAGTTCTGTTCTAGGGTTGCAGCTCATTTGTGGCTATGGGGGCCTTCATGAAAGGGAACATGGACAGGGATGTTGATGCGTTTTCAATTAGATTCGGTAGCGGGCATAGGAAGATATCATAGTCAATCATTCGGGTGATGTTTCAAAGCCCTGTGCCCTGCACCCCTGTAGAACTCGTTCAGCACCCCTTGAGTAGAAAGCAGCCAATATATACATATACATACATATGTATATATATATATATATATATATATGTATACATGTATACA